ACGTTGTACTGATGAAACAGATGATTGGGAGAAATTAAAACAACAACGTGAATCTGTTATTAAATCTGGTTCGGTTAAACCTGATGTTGAAGATGCTTTTGAAGCTTTTGCTCGAAGTATGGGAAGTTTAACAGCAGATGATTCAATTATTAATACTGTTGTACCTATGGATGTTCAATATTTATGGTCAGATAAATATCGACCACGTAAACCGCGTGTTTTTAATAAAGTTCATACAGTATGTTTACAAATTCTTCTTTTTTTTTTTTTTTTGTTTTGCTTTTATTAAAATGAAATAATTTCAATATTTTTAGGGTTATGATTGGAATCAATATAATAAAAAACACTATGATACAGATAATCCACCACCAAAAACCGTTCAAGGATATAAATTCAATGTAAGACATTTTTTTTAAAGCATATTCAATATTCGCAATTTGAGCAAAATTTTTTTTTTGAATTCATGATGTAAATGGATTACAAAATAATCTGAAATATTCTGTATTGTATAGAAGAGATTTATTTAAACAACCTAATAGGATTTGACTTTGTTAACGAAGGTGTGGACGCATCCATACTGAATGCACACTGATAGACTCCGATAGATTCAGGTAGACCTGGTAGATCCTAAGAAAACTATTCGAACAAATTAATAAAAGTTGAATTATTTTATACTTCATTATTTTTGAATATACTTTGTAATTCATTTGTGTCTTTAAGTTTGTTTTTGTATTGAAGATAAGATTTTAAAAAAGTCAGACTATTTAAAAATTGAGATAAGCCAGATGCATTAAATCTCAATATTTATCCGAACATTTGTGTTTGATCATTGAGAAAATCGATGCTTTTCGATATGATAGCAAAGAAAGCCGTATGTATGGATTTTATATTCTAAGTAGTTTTGACTATCAAAACGTTAGGCGCAAAAAAAAACCAAATAACATATTCTGAATCAACTATTCAAAACCAATTTTCATCGAATTTCGATCCTTACATATTCTCACTGATATTTTGAACACTCTAGCTTATATTCATCTTAAGATTGAAATTTGATGAAAACTGGTTTTAAGTATTGGATATATTATTCTAAGAAGATTTTTGCGCTGATTCTAAATTTTGATATTCGTTTCAGTTGGAGCTGAAGTTTGAATGTCAAAATATTAGAATGCAAATTCGTATTTAGGACTTCTTTGCTATCATATCGAAAACATTGATTTTTTCAATAATCAAGGAATTTTTTTCCTAACTATATGATGAGTAAAATCAAAGGAAAGTCGGGTAAACATTGAGACTGCCGAAACTTGATACTTCGGGTAAACCTTATTTTTGCTACAAAAACATCGTCGGAATATGTCGAAAACCATAATTCTACTAGTGACTCGATGTGAGCTTTATTCAATCGTGACAAAAAAAGACTTTGCTCAAATTTCTCTCTGTTAATACCTTACAATTTTCAAAAACGATTGATTTTTTTTAGATTTTCTATCCTGATTTAATTGATAAAACAAAAACCCCATCGTATAGTCTTGTAAGTATTTCAATTTGATTGCATTTGAATTAATTATAAGATCTTTTTCTTTTATTAAGACGGTTTGTGAAGATAATAGAGATTTCTCAATTCTCAAATTTCATGCTGGACCACCATATGAAGTAAAATAAAAATATCAAATTAAAAATAAACATTCATTTTCTATAATTTATTTTTTAGGATATTGCATTCAAAATTGTTAGTAAAGAATGGGATTATTCATACAAACATGGTTTTCGATGTCACTTTCAAAATGGAATATTTCAATTATGGTTTCATTTTCGTAAATGGAAATATCGTCGATAAACGCTGTTTTTTTTTGTCTTGTTTATTATTTTCATATGTGAAATATTTTCTTGTATGATCTAAAGTTTCAATATATGAAATCCAGATGGAAATTCTAAGAGTATCATCTATTAGTCTTTTCATTTCAATTTTTTTCTGTCTAATCTATGATATTTTCTTTCTAGATATTAATTGCATCATATAATATTAAATCAGATACGTTCTTTTGAAGCATAATCAGAAAAACTTACAAATACATATGCTTATCAGAACAAAAATTTATCAAGAAAAATCATCGAACTATTGTTGAATGTTTGTTTTTCGAATATTCTTTTTGATAGTTTTTTTGAATATTTCACTACAAAATATAATACATTGTGTAGTAGGATATGGCTTATAGAAGTGATTATTTTGTGACAAATCATCAATGTTAAACGATGCCAATTATCTTCAATCAGACGTAATATATTGAAGTTTTCCATAATTTTTTATTAATATAGTTTGATAAATTCTTAACAAGGATAAGATCATGTGATGAAGCTAATCATTTAAATACATTTACATTATTAGTGTTGAATTATTTCAAAGAATATTTCGATCTGTGAGATGATGAACATTTCTGCATAAGCATCCATTGTTCACTGGATAAAACGAATGTATTTTCAAATGATATAGGCAAGACTTCTTTAATTATCTTGATATATGTGGTAGATCATCAATATAATCCGACTTTATCACTAAGGGACTATGAGCATCTTCTGACATGTAAACCTCACACATTAATACTTTATCCAATACCTTACACGAAAATTCAATGGTTATTCCTTTTGGTTTTTAAACGTCGAATAAATGTATGAATTTTATGTTTGGATATTTCGAAGGGTACTTCATTAACTCAAATGATTTGTTTTCCATTTCTTTTACCAATAATGATAGTCTTGTACAAAATGAAATCATTCTTTTTGTTGTGTAGTATTATGAAATAGTTTTTGTTTTACTATGTAACTTTTGCTTCTCACTTCCAAAAGACGATGATGAATTGTTCGAACATTCAACTGTTTATCATTTGACAGTATTAGTTCCGATCATAGTTTCTGGTTAGATATTCTTCGATATGTTTTACATAAACTCATTCTTTTCGAATCTTCAATTGATATTTAGATTTTTTCGCACCTGATCAGGTAAATTTGATAATAGTTATTTTTGTGTTATATCTAAAACTTATATTGTTGAAATATTAAATGTTTTGATGACATGACATTGACTAAGTTCTATTTCTAATTAAGTTCTAATTTTAATTTTCTTCATAGTTCATGATTATCAAATATATAAGTACTGTTTATAAATGGTATCTGATAAGAAATATCTATAAAAAGTAAAAGACTACCATGATTCTATATTTAATCGATAATCAGTTTAAAGTTCGATAAAAACAAATAAAACTATCTCTAGTCGTCTTAGAATTTTAACCAGCGAAATTTTGATGATTTTTTTCAACAGATTTTTTTGTTCTGATTATAATATGAAATAATAAACTTTGCTCATAGAATGATATCTAATTTTATGCAGTTAACAAATTTCAGAAGAAAAATATTGAATGACAATATTTGTTGAAGTGATTCTATTATTTTAGTCGGAATTCTATATTTCAGATACAAAAAAAAAAAAAGAAAAAGATGGTGTGTGTACCGTGTATCTTCGTTGGTTTAGCTATTGTTATTTGGTGCAAATTTCTTGAACCTTATATAAAACCAATTTATGACCGACTTTGTCAATATTATCCACCATTAAAAATAGTTGGTGATCAAATAGGAGTTTGGGCTGGAAAAATTGAAAAATTTGGAGAAAAAATTGGTATTCGTATGCCTCAATCGTGTCCAATGCCAAAGAAAAACAAAAATGCTTCAAAAGTAATGAAACAAAATATCATTTTTAAGATTAAGATAAACATAAAAATTTCGATTTTTAGTGTCCAGTTGATGATAGTAATAAATTATATCCTGATTTAAAATCAACAACGACAGATGACATGGATATTAATCATCGATCAGTACCGTCAGCTCCTCCATCGCCGCATAATGAATGAAAGATCATCATCGAACGGACACAAAACTTAATATTATTTTCGTCATCCTTTTTGTCTTTTTCAGCAATCAAACCTAATATGTTTGGCATCGATGTCATATCGAGTCTTTAATCGTGCGTTCTAATAAATATTGTCTAATCAAGATTTTATGAGTAAAGTTTTTATAGGTTGCCAAATTATAATTGTAAAAGAAAATTTCGAATTAGACTTAATAATCGCTGTTTGGATAATATTTTAATCCGCAGGTCGAAAATACAGTAACGTGACAATATCTCTTAATGAAAGAACAATCCGAATTGATACTTTGAAGTTTTTTGGTACTTTTACAATGTGTACTTGTGAATAATATCGCATTACAAAAGGTTTCGGACACTCAGAAATCTTTTCTCATGAGTTTCAGCCGACAGTATGGCAAAAATCGATAAGAGAAGCTCCCCTACTAAAATAGACAAGAACAAAAGCTTAGATTTTTGTTTTCTACTTGCAGAATATAGGAAATACGATGATTCAAGCGATAGAGTATGATTGTGTGAAGTTAGATTGTGCGTGGGAAAAGAGGATTCATACCAATACCTTACTTTCACATTCACATTCAAAAGTCAGGAAAATGCATAATTCTCAGAGTTTGATGAGAATAATACATCTTATATAGTATGTATCTCAGGCCTACAACAATCAGACACTCAAGTATTTAAAAATCTGTAGGTATGTTGTAGAAGCTTTCAAAATGCATATGAAGGGTCTAAAACAAAAACCTAGCTACGGATAGCTTGAGCAATGACCCGGCAAAGCCTATCGTAAAAAGAAAGTTATTATCTGTCATTAATGATTTTAAGTTGTGTCACTCCTCTTAAACTCTGAACAATAGATAGTGAACTTTCATAGATAGAAAAATAGATTTTATTAAGTTCTGGATTAAAATATGTATGAAGGTGTATTTAAGAAGCACAAAATTGTTTAAATAAATAAATGAAATTCACAAAAAATTAATTCACTTGATTTTGAGAATAATAGTGTTTTTGATGGTTCGCTAATGATTCTTTTGCGATAATTATTTAATGTTCAAAAATACATTATTGAAGACGTTTTTCGATTATGTGTTCATGAAGTCGATTGCTTTGTAGAGTTGAGACGATTCGAAACTAGGTTATAAATAAATTGAGCTGAAGTTGATGACGATTGAATTTGAGCATAATTCAGATTTTGACCATCTTTGCTAATTAGTTTGGTAATATTATCTGATGCTTTTATGTCTTGTGCATATTGTTGAGCGGGCATCTTATGACGAGCATTAGGCGTCTCGGAGCGTTGCAGATAAAAATGTGAAATCATATGTGTAACATTACCTCGTCCACAATCAAATGTAACAATAACAGCATCAGATTGATATTTGTCATATAAAGCTTGTGAACGAATAAGAACTTTAACTTGTTCTTTATTGACAATTTCAATCGGATGTGACGCAGTTTCAAGCCACCATTGTGGTTGAGCATGTTTAGCTGCTAATACAAAACCGCTAACAAATGAATGATTAGGATCTACAACTTCGATACCAACAACTTCATCACGTGTAGATTGACCATTATGTTTAACGAAATCAGAAAATGCTACTTGTAAAACATTTCTTAATGCCCAATCAGTTGTTATTATATGGAGACCCTTTTCAACGAATTCTCGTAAACGATAAGCGGCTTCTTTAGGAAATTTCGAGGCACAATTAATATATACTGTTTGATAAGTACGAAATGGATAATTAATTAATTCATGCTGTTCAACAACGGTAAATTTTATATTGAGTTTCGCCAGTACTCGATCAATATGGTCATAGGTACCTGGCACTACAATAACAGCATCATCACGCATAGTTTTTATTGTTGTTTGGTCTTGTTGACTCAATCTTTCTAAAGCTATCGCACCTCCTATACTATAAGCTTTTTGCATATCATCATCATGAATTGTATGACTATGCGAGGAAGAAGACGTATCTAAATTTTTATTTGATAATTGATCACTAGGATGAGCCGTTGAACCAAGTAATGATGTTTTTGTAGGATGTTGAAAACGATCACAATGTGTCGGATCTGATAGGTAACGACAATTGGAACCGTATCTACATTCTTCTTTCATATTTGAAGCTTAACAAGATAGAACAAAAACATAAAAAACAATGATTAATTCGATATAGAATTGAATTCTATTCAGAAATCAACAGCTACAGCTCGAGGTACTTCCAAGTTCTTTCATATGATGCGTGATAAGCGCTGGTTGGATCATTAGCAAATTCTAATCGTTTTTCGCTCATACACAGGATATACTTTATTTTAATCTTACGAGATTCACACTTAAAGAGCTCTATTTCTAGAAATTAAATTTCAATGAGTTTTTTTAAGCTCATTTACTAATTTGACAAGAGGTACTCTGAAACGTCTACAGAGTCAAGTTCCGATCCTCTTTCAGCCCAAAGTCTGACCGATTTGCAACAGTTCTGTACGTACCTAGTGAAACAGCAACACAATCATCGCACATATTTTTATTCGTGTTTTGTCTTCTTAACTCAATCTCTCTCTAAAGCTATCGCACCTTCAATACTATAAGCTTTTCCCATAATATAATTACGATAATTTGTATGACTACGCGACAAACATGAAGTATCTGAGTATATATTTGATGACTTACCATCAGCAGTAGCTGTTGCACCAGGTGATGCTGTTTTTGCCGGATGTTGAAAACGCTCACAATGTGTCTGATCGGATTGTTGACGACATTTGGTACCGTATCTACATTCTGGTTTCGTATTTAAAGCTAGATAAAACAGAGAAAAAAACACAAGTAACAAATGAGAAGTTCTATTCAGAGTTGGATTCTATTGAGATATCAAAACTGCAGCTCAAGGTAATTCCAAGTTCTTTCATATAATGCGTGATAAGAGTTGGCTGAGTCATTCGCAAACTCTGATCCTTTTCCGCTCATACATAGAATACACTTTATTCTAATCTTACGACATTCAATCTTTACGCGCTATACTTTTAGAAATTAACTTTGAATGAGCTTTTTCTTTAATTCTTTGATTGATTTGATGATAAGTACTGTGGATCATCTACAGCTTCAAGTTCCCATCATCTTCTTGCCCAAAGTCTGACCGATTTACAACAGATATATATACGTACCTGGCGAAGCAGTAACAGCATCTTCGCGCATACTTTTTATTTTTGTTTGATCCTGTTGATTGGATCTTCCTGAAGTCGTCGCACCTCCAATACTATGCTCTCTTTGTGTATCATCACCTTGATTTGTATGACTACGCGACGAACGAAAAGGATCCGAGTTTGTATCTGATGATTGGCCATCAGTAGTAGTCTGCATACCAAGTGATGATGCCTTTGTAGGATGTTGAAAACGCTGACAATGTGTCTGATCGGTTTGTTGACGACAATCGGAACCGTATCGACAGTCTTGTTTCGTATTTGAAACTAGGCAAAACAGCAAAAACAAACATCAGAATAACAAATGAGATGTTTCAGTGAGGGCTCAGTTTTATTTTGAAAAGTGCTGTGACGGACATTGTTGGAATGAGCCCTGATGTATTGTAGTTGAATTTCATGCATTTTTTATACTTTTGCCGATAGGTCATAAGTAATATGGGCTGAACCCCAATATAGGTCAAATCGTTGCTATGCTTCTACTTTGAGTGGTACTTATGGAAGTTTTCTCTATGCAAATGAAAACTGAGTGACGATAACTATGATACCAGAATGAAACGTGCTGGAAAATTGATCCTTCGAGATAATATGTTGTTACATACCACTATTTGTAGTAGTAAAATTGGTTGGTTGAACATTCGATGAATTGCCAACCCATGTATTGACGAAAGAACTCTGTGTTGTACTATAAAATAGAATTTTGAAAGTTCTAAAACCTTTCAATACAGTTGATCTATTAATCCGATACAACAACTGAATTGTAGGTTGGCTTTCCACATGAAGCATAGGTACACTTTTGAAAAATAAAAGTTGTAGTTACAAGAGTCCCCATTACTACCATAGCTACCATCAAGTGATTAGTGCCTTAGAAGTTTAGACTATTCTCAATCGGTAGAGACTAATAGGTGTGTAAACAACCTATAGTGGTTCAATAGTCTGCGTAATTCTTTGATGGAATATAGCATTTTCAAAGTACAAATTTTCATGAAGTTTAGCTATGCCTCTGATTTTTTTATGTTTCGGCGAAGCAAGCTTTGATCTAACTCACGAGAAAACGTTTCCAAATGATATATCGCTTCTGCGATCAGACCTATCAGAATATATATGGCATACTGAAACTAGTAAAACCTTCGAATGAGTCATGTGTCTGGCTATTTCTTGTTCTGTTATCGGAATTTTATTAAACTTTCGACCCATAGCTGAATGTTTTGAGGAAAATTAAATGTCGTTGTTTTAACTTGAGAATTTCATCTACAAAGAAGATTTTTCGTTTCTAAAATATATTATAATTTTCAACTCAAATAAATGAGCGCTTATCGAGATATTTTAGGTGCTCGAGGAATGCCTATATTCAAACCATCACGTGAAAAAATGTAGCTTTTTTGAGCAACTAATACATCGTGGGTGTGAGTATCGATGGAGGTGTGGTCGTGGATGTGGGATGGGAATGGATGTGAATGTGGGGGTAGATATGAGTGTGCGAGTTTTTTGTTTCACACTAACACCGATACCCTCATCCTAACTGTACCAACTCACATGGTTACCAACTCAGATGGTAACCAAAAGACTTGCTAACAAAACTAATCAATTATAATATAATATTATATGGTATGCAACGGTTCATATGTGATCCAGATTTGCTTTTGGTTATGAATTCATTTAGCGACATTCGAGTCGGCAAAAAGTGAATACGACGAAACTGAGGTAATTCACAATGTAGACCAGATGAAATTTTACATCGCATGAAATACAAGTGCCTTTGGACCGTGGTTGATGTCGACAATTTTCGTGCACCAAGAAACGTGTTCCCGTAAATTTTCAGTTCATAGGGTTTTATGGGTCCTCAAAACCAAGGGTCCGGCGACGTTTGTGAAGTGCTGTATCGATTCTTATCGATGAAACTGGAGAGATAAGTAATAGAAATCTCAGAGTCCGTTTAGAATCAATATTACGTTTATGAGTTCCTGCAGTAGATCCTTTAGACCACATGCTGGTATGTTTATCGTAAAAATGGTCTTTATGACGAAGTGATGAAGAATCGGTTTTTTGGAAGGGGGTGGGGTTGCCTACGATTAAGCAAAGAAAGTCTCTATCTTTATTTTTTTTAAATACATTAAAATATTAAGTTCATGGAACGTCATAGATGTGATTGAGCTGATATGAAAGTTAAAAAGATTTCCGATTAGTTATTCAAGAGTTTTCAAATTTTTTAAGTGAAGAAGAGAATATTCTCAAAATGATTGCAGAAACTTACTTTTTCTCTTCCATTTTTCATTTCAGTGGGTCGCAGAAAAATAAAAATGTTTGTAAATGAAGATTTATTCAATTTCGGGAGTAGCGCAGGAAGAAAAAAATAATACCTTGGAAGTTTTTTTCTTTCACTTTATATGTAAAAGATCACAGCACATCAGAAGAAAAAAATACAAAAAATGGGGAAGGAAAGTCATTATGTGGACCAATCGGTTTTCTTTCGAAGTCAACCAGTCTCTTTTTGTTGTTGTTATTTTTGATGGCCGATTTCCCACAAAAACTCGCATCTGATTCGCAAGTGTTATATGAACGAAACACGACGCTGTTTACTTCGACAGCCATTTTCAATCATGTTCATCTGTAATCCGAGTAGTGATTAGGGGTAGCACATTCACTTAAATTTTTGTTGAGTAAAGTAAAGTAAAGAAAGTAACTTATTAACTACTATTGACTTATTTTGTCAAAATTTATCGGGAATGAAATTACCCATAAACTAATAGCTACTGAGTTACATGTTATTTCATGACTAATGAGTTATTGTCCATGTTTTCGATTACAGTCAATTGCGACGCTACTGCGATGAAAAAAATTCCAGTTACGCGTACTGCAACCTTTTTTCGCAACTAAGTGCAACTACGTTTGATTTTTTTGTAACTACGCGTAATTGTGTCGCAATTCGATTATGATCTAAAACATGAATAACTAGATGAAAGATATACATTAGTTGCTTTGTTAGGAGTAAAGTACAGGTAAAGTGTCACCCTTAATAGCGATCCATTTTAGACGCCCTAGGAAATAACATAAGTTTGGCAAAAGGATGTGGGTTTCGGTCCTCTCTTCTCTCTAATCCGTACTCGCATGTACAGCTACAGCTACCATCAAACCCACATCCGTCCTTACCTCCGCACCCACCCACATCAACAGTCGCACCCTCAAGTTTAGGCCGTTCCATATTATAGTTATATGTTATTATGGAGTCAGTGTTTTCTGGCCTGAAGTTTTAACTAATCAGATAATAAATATGGGCAATTGGTTCTTGTTCAATAAGTTGTTTTTGTCTCGGAAATTCAACCAATAAGATGCTTTAGCTATCCAGCTCTTGTTCAATCAGACCATTTGTGATGAAACTTCGGATGATCAGGTGCCTTCGGCATTTGGTTCTCACCCAGTCGGATTCCCATAGGTGAAGTCGAACCAAATGACTGCTGGCCTCTTCACAGATGTGAAAGAAAGATTAAGAAGGTAGAAGAGTATGGATGTAGTTTTGAATGGGGATAAAGAGAAGATTTCCACTCACACCCTAAATTAGATTGAGCAAGTAAAATTTTTTATAGCTGTATTGCTGTATTGGAAAAATTATATTACTATTGCTATTCATTGACTCTTCATTCGGTTTAATCATATTTAATAATTCGAAAAAATAACTTTTCGATCAAGACTAATCATTTAAAATAGATCGTATTGATAGCAACGTATCCTATCTATTTCACAGAAATAGTTGATAAAAAAGTTGTTAGAAGGAGCTGTTTATTGCATTGAACTCTTCTTTATATATTCTTTAGGCATTGACAAAGTCTCACCCTAAATTAAGCCGCCTATTCAGGTTTGTCTTTTACAATGGTAACAGACACATAGAATAGTTGGAACCAATCAAAGATTTCATGGTACTAGTTGACACGATGCAGATGAAATTTCATAAGATGAATGACACACACGAATGATGTACTGCGATTGAATAATTATACAATAATGAAATACATTGCTGTGAAAATGCTTGATACTGCTCTCGGTTAGCTTATTGACAAAAACAGATAATATTAAAGTCAGTGTGCTTAATCACGCACTTATGTACTGTTGATGCAAATATACAGCACTTCATTTTGAATTCCTCATGGTTACCTGTATAACAGTAATTTGTGATTAGAGATTGAACTTGAGAAAAATGTTGAATTTAAGCATGTTTATCAATCTATCAATGTGACGCACAGTCGGTGTCAAGTTCGGAAAGAGAGTCCGTCTTTTCCCTAGAGTTTCTTTCTTTCTTTTTTTTTTTTGAATTTAAAAATCACACTAGAAAATAAAAACTGACAAAATGCAATGTTCTTTCAAGTGTATTCAATGTATGCTTAAAAGTGACAACATAATCCTTGGCAAATATTTCATTTACAAACTTATCCTTTCTCCACCGAAAGTATGATTGGAGAAACGGTGCACTTTCATTAAGCATTGTTTCTTTCTAATAATTAATTCATGCGATGATAAATCATAATCAACGTTGATGGCATTTGATTTTATGTTGTTGAAAAAAAGAAAATCTCAGTAAAATGTTTGCTATTTTGACAGATATTTGCAGCACGTTTATCGGTCTTCGAAAGTGACATAATAAATGCTCTATCAACATATTCGTTGTATTTCATTCTGCTTAGTTGTATGTCTATAAAAACTCATAAACAATTCGTTCCAGATATAACTGATTCCACGAGAATGAGTAATTTGTAAAAATATGCCAATGAAACAACGAAGACAAATAACTTTTTTATTGAATACATCACACTTCGATTCAAGGCAAAATAACAAATATTGTGCGCATAAAATGAATCTCTCATTTTTTTTACAGATGCTGACAACAGAGAAAATAGGGAAAACATGATCAATTTATTTGTATCTCGTCACTGAACTCGGTAAGATATTGTCTCTGAAACAATGCAAGCTATTAAATCTTCGTTTTTTTACAATCGTACTTTACCTAGAATTCTTAGAAGAATAGTTTACTTTCATATCTTCTATTTAAGTCGAAAGAACGCGATTGATCACTGGAACGTAGATCATCAGTTAGCAATTTCTCTATTTCATTGATTATTTCTCAATTGTACTTTGACGTCAGACTTCGTCGAACAAAAATGATAATCAGATTTCTATGTAATAACTTTAATAATTCCTTTTTGCATGGTGCATTACGTATTAATGATTTTTAACAATGGTGCACTTCGGGAGATTGCTTATAACTTTTTAAGACAATGCGGTAGACACATGCGATTTTTACTGTTGAATACAGGACAGAAGGGTACGTAAGTCTATGAAAAAAATTGAAGTCAAGATAAGAATTACCATGGTGAGCTTTTCAATGCAAAACCTACTAGATTGTCTTTTCCGAACGGTACAATGGCTTTTAAATTTAAAGTAGTGCAATAGATAGTGTGGATCGAGATCTACCATTCTAGATGTGGCTCAGCTCTGTATCTATTAAGATTCAAAAGTTGTGAGCATTCTTTTGAAAAGTACCGACTTCTGTCCGAACAGCTACTAAAATTATAAAAGTGCATGATATATAAGTTATCGAATGCGCTGAGCATCATGGTGATCTTTATTCGCAGTTTGGGGGTTGCCTTTCAATTGAAGTCAGATGAATCAGGTTCAAAAGAGCTTATACCGTAGCACTACAATGTAAATTAAGCACGATAAATTCAATGGTAACTTTTTTAAACATTTTTTCCGAACCATACGTGATTTTCAGCCTTAACTGACGTTAATTTGATGCCATCGGCGTTCAGTCGCTCAATTGGTTAAGACAAATAGCTTGAACATCAGCTTTTCATTGTTGTGGTATTCAGGCGATTGTGCATTTCTATTTATATATAGGGAGAAAAAAAAGAACGCTTGCATTTTTTCTGTTCTCTTCGAGAGTCCGTGTCTCTCCGTTTATTCAACTGTTATTGCCATTTTTCATATTACAGAATTAACTGTTGTATATCTATTATAATAACTTCGTTTATCATGCATGCCGGCTTCGAATTCAGCACGAAGGAAAAAATTTTAATCTTTTAAGTAATAAAATTTTGTGAGCGAGAGAAGACTGGTCCAATAATTTCTTTGAATAACGTCATTGAACGAATTTCGAACATGTTCTCCATGTCCGAAAGATCAGCGAATAATTTGAAAACAGGAATGAATGAATGGAAACAGCATGAAGAGGCAGAACTTCAAAAGCAGTAGAAACAGAAGCAACAGGAAGAAAATGAAAATGAAAATCATCTTCGCAGTCGAACAACATCGAACTCCACATTAAAACATCAACGAACGTCTCCGTCTCTATCTCAACCTAAACGATTACATCGATGTCGATGTCACATTGGCTCTGCAGCCGTTACTGTAGTAGCACAAGTGTCTGTTCCTGAACCATCGTCTCTAAAAAACGAAATGTGAGCAGCACTTCTTGTATTTCAGTCAATTGAAATGATAGTGGCCGTTTTGTTCGTCAGATCACTTTGACCTTCCAAAACTCATTCTGTCTGAATATTCACAGAATATGATTAGATACCATTTTCATTTCCTTTTGGAAGAAAAAATATATCCGACAACGGCAAGATTCCTTAGCCATTTTCATCAAGATTTCGATGATTTTCCCATTCATTGTACTTCCAGATTGTGGTTCGAGATGAAAAAAGTGAGTGCCAGATGTACGATCACAACGTAAACTTCTCTCTTCTTAATCGTTGTGAAGTAAGTATAACTTTCTAATAGACTCTCAATCGTTCGAGAAAAAAGTGCAAATCTTGCATCCAGCTCATGTCATAAAAGCTGCTGTAAAGAATTGAGGAAAGAAGAAAGAATTTGGATGTGAGTGTTATTGAATTCATTTTGATGTACACAATTGTATTCTAGTAACGCCCCAGAAACAAAAGACATCACCTAAAAATGGGCTATGTGAAACGTATTGCTCGGTTCTTCACTGTACATCAATCAAATTCAAATAAAAAAAAAAAAACAAAAAAGATTTATCTCCCATCAGTCTTCTACGTCTTGACTCGCCTTGTTGGTACGTATCTTCTTTATACTCTACTCTGTTGACCCTCTTCTTAATCTCCTATTATTCTCTCTAGCTCCCTCCTTCTCACATATTTATTCACTTTATATTCGCATAAGTTATTCTTCTTTCATCAATTCATGCTCGTTCTCCTTTTATGATGTCATTCTTAATTCGTTTGCACACTTTTCATATTCGTCAAGTCAATGATATATATATATAGCGAGAGGTATTATTTACGATTAAAGTAGCTCCATTATATTATATATTTTAATCCCACAATGATTGTGCTGAAAGTTTTTCTAGATAAATATCATCTTGAAGCAAATATTGAGTAAATATCAGTATTTCTTCTTCATATTCAGTCTTACTTTAACAAAAGGAAAACATAAAGAATTATTATTTTCAATTCAAAATTCACATTATTATTTGAGCGTCTTTGACGTATACTTATTCATTTCCATGAAATCTGTATGCACAATAATCTTAATCTCTTTATTTTGGCATTTATGCTCAAGTCAAACAAAACAGAAAGATGATGATATTGCTTCAAAAATTCAACAAGTCGAAACTGGACTTTGTCACGCTATTCAGATAGACGGAGAACCGCCCTTAAGGTTTGAGATTAGAGAGCGCATGAAGTACTACCATGTACCTGCTGTCAGTATTGCTTTGATAAATGAAGAAGAAATTGAATGGGCAAAAGCATACGGCTATATGAATATGGATACTATGAAAGAAGCCGATACTTTGACATTATTTCAAGCAGGCTCTATCAGTAAACCAGTATCTGCCTTAGCTGCTCTGCAACTAGTAGATCAACGCAAAATAGACCTGGACGAAAATGTGAATACTTATCTTCGAACTTGGAAAGTTAAAAACACTTCATTCACCGAAAAAGAATTCATTACTTTGCGAAGGCTTCTTACACATACGGCGGGCCTTACCGTTCACGGATTTCCTGGCTATGCTCAAGCAGACGCATTGCCGGCATTAATTCAAATCTTGAACGGAGAAGAGCCAGCTAACTCGCCAGCAATTATTTCGGATCTAGTACCAGGTACTCTGTGGCGATACTCGGGTGGTGGATATGTTCTCATGCAACAATTATTAGAAGACATAACGGGATCTGACTTTGTTACTTTGATACAACAGTCGATACTTTCTCTCATTGGTATGAATCATAGTACATTCCAATGGGCGTTACCTCCATTATGGTAACAACAAGCTAGTGCTGGTCATCTATCGAAAGGAAAGATAGTACCGGGTAATTGGTACATATATCCGGAAAGTACTGCAGCTGGATTGTGGGCTGACCCGTCTGACTTGGCCCGATATATCAGCGAAGTACAACGTTCCCTACAACAGGAATCTAATAAGACTCTTTCGAAAAAGATAATTAAGGAGATGCTTACTAAACATTTGAATGATTGAGGTTTAGGTCCTGCTGTGTACGGTGAAAATGATTCATTAGCTTTTGAGCACTCTGGTGCTACTGAAGGATTTAGATGTCATATGTTCGGCTTCGCCTATTCAGGCAAGGGAGCAGTAATAATGACGAACTCGGATGATGGAACGGATTTAATTAATGAAATCGTCAGAAGCATAGCCATTACATACAACTGGAGTGCTCGCAAACCCGTAATAAAAACCGTTGTCACATTGACACCTGCAAAACTAGCCACTTTTGCTGGAACGTATGTAATGAATCGACAGAATGTCAATTTGTTAGTAACAGTGCAGGAAAATCATTTATTGGCAAAACAGACCTGGGATGAAAAAGAACTTTTACTTTATCCAGAATCTGATTTAGATTTCTTCGAAAAAGAAAATGGTTACTTGATTAAATTTGAATCATCCCTCGACGGAAGTATTAGTGGATTTCTGTTATTTGGGGAGAAGTGGAGGAAGGCCGAATTCGACAAAAGTTGAAAATGAGAAAAAAACTAAAGCGTAGTTTTTTGTTTTGTACCCATAATGATTAATTAAAATAAACTGTATAGATGCTAAATGTCATATTATTTCTGTGCTCCAGTATTTCACACATCTTCTTAAAAAAGGTTAAGAATGCTTCCATGAGATCATCAATTACCATGCTAACACTTTAAGCCTTCATCAAGTTTTACTTTTTCAATATGATACTTGCGTTTTTTTCATTATTATCTAAAACTTTTAAATTCAAATTGTTAGCAATTGATATTGATTTGGTGAAAATATAGCCTTGAAAATTCATTGAAAATTCCACTTGAAAAATTAGCCCTTTATAACTCGACAATGGATCAATTAACCTTTTGACGCAATATATACGGGAGAAAAATAGAAATGCTTGTCTTTTTTCTAATTAATTCCATTTGATCACCGATTACAACAATCTTAACACCATAATCTTTGCATTCCTGCACATCAGCTGTCAAGATAATGACAGCTATAGATGGGCAATAACTTATTTCAGCATCGCTCCATATAATCTTTATTTCTTCTAAATTTTGAAGCTCATTCAGAAGTCCTCGCTCTCGTCTCTCACCACTTTCCATCATGCTTGTCATAACACAATTGATGTTTCCTGGTGCTAGACAACGATCACGCAGAGCCCTCAACGCATCAGCAGTTTCATTGAAACATGCAACAATCCAGTTTTGAGCTTCAAGTAATCTGTACTTCGGCGAATGTTTGGATCAGAGTCAACCCAGATGATGCTACCTGTAGGATCGATGTTAGTATCTGTTACAGCTAATCCACTTGACATGTTTGTATCTGAATATAAGTTTTGCATCTCGATCTATTTAAGTGACGCTTTAAATACGACTTGCGTAGTAGAAGAAATGAAAATACTCAGATGACACAGAATGCTTCGACTTTTTAATCGAATAGCGGTTTTGTTGTCAACTTTGCCATTGAAATGAATATCTCTCTTCAAGAGTAACTTGTTACTTGATAGAAATGGTTCTCAAAGTCGACATTTGAGAAACTCTTTTAAAATGATGACCACAACAGATTGTTATATAATGAATAATTCTTACCGTGATGATATCAGCAGCATCGAGGAGTATTTAATTATTTTTCAAATTATGAAGTTAGATTAAAGAAGATGATGTATAACATCAAATTTGAGTATTGTTAGTAATTCATCTCTTTAAGACCGCTGCTGTGCTTGTAAAATCAAATTTGTCAGTATATTATCCACCTTTTTTTCTTCGAAAAAAAAACAATATTGAACTTTGAGACAATGAACACTAATTTTCTGAGAGAAGGAATAATTCGTTAGTTCGCAATGCAATGATTATAAGCTCCACTAGATAAAACAAATCTTCAAAAACTCGTCCTCGTTCTGACTTCCATGCTATGTATAATCTTGTGTTTTACGTCTGTTATTACACAAAATATCATTTAGGATACAAAAACTGATCGAAATATTAATCTTAGAACGAACCACTACGTAAAAGGAACCTTTAAATACTCCAGTACCCTAGAGAAATGTATGGGTTTTTAGTATTTGACTATAAAGTGCTTCTCAATGTTCAATCAGCTAACTTGTTGAGAAGTTTTTCATATAATTTCACAGAAATTGGGCAGATATCTGTTAAGTACTCCAGTATAGAGCTACGAACCCTTCTAGATTTGGGTCACAGTTCCCAAAAACATTGATTCACAGCTCCCTATAGTCATATATTGAGACAATTATCAGCAGAATACCAAATCAAGATCCTGTAATATACTGGTAACATGATACTCGAAAATGTACCATGCTGTCAACTGACCCATTTTGATAGTATCTTGAACTTAGTACATTCACTAAAAATTTATGATTCTCTGAATTCGAATTTGATTTTGTCTATATACTTTGAAAGAAAGAAAACAATGGTTATATCACTTTCTTGTTTAAACTATCATTTTACTTCGGTAAGATACAAAAATAAAATACACTTCGAAAAAAAAAATCCTCTGAAGCAATCAATGTATCATCTGTTCATTATTACTGTGATTGTCGTCGGTTGTCATGTCATCTGTAATCGACGTTGATGTATTACTTGTAATTGATAATTTTTCTTGTTCTCGCTTTGAAATTTCTCGTCTGACCAATTCTCGTTGAGTTAGAATTGGAAAACCTGGATTGAGATTTAATGCGTATGGTAAAAATTGCTTCGGCATATCGCCAAAATCAATTATGGCTTTGATAAACATAGTATCATCAACAATATATGGATTATTATTTTGTTGGATTATTGTGAGAGGCACAAATTTAGGTATACCAGAAGCAATGTTCATATCTGAACGAGGCCTTTGAAAACTACTTGACTTTACATCAGGTCGAAATGAATCGATAATATGTCGTTGTTGAAATGTTTGGTCCAGAAGAATAAATGTTACCTTGAAACTGAACGGAAAATGAAGGATAGCATCGTACTCTCCACGCATGAGTACAAAGAAAAGAGATATATGAGTGCGCCTAGCATTGCCATCACCAGCCAGATAAAGACGAAGTCGCATTTTATAACCGTTCGATGATGAATAGAATACGGGAGAATAAATAGATGTCTGTCGTTCACACTCAGCATCAGCTAAAAAGTTTTAAAGAAAGAATCAATAAATAAAAATTTCATATTATAGTTCATTGGAATTTTATTGTGAGACTATGAATGTCAGATTAGCATTAGTCTTAACCTTCTCAAAATATGAAGCACATATACAGTGGAGTGCAAAAATAATTGCTGTTAGTATTTGATAAAGTTACTCTACTGAACATGATGAATATTGAAAGTTTTTTTTATAAATAGATTATACATGCACAAGAGTACACAAATATAATAATCAATAGTTAACTCTTCTTCCCTTCAGCCAAAAAAAGCAGTAAACACTATAGTTTCATCGATACACTCAAATAACTTAGGATCGTTTTTCCTATGTACATGGATTGTGTTCTAGCCTAAAAGGTGTGTTTGGAGAAGAGCGAAAGAAGCTATGAACCTTGTTTTGGATCAAGATCCTGTAGCCGAAAATTCAGCTCGATACGATGTCTTCTCAATTTTTAGAGTGGGAAAGAAATGCAACACCACCTTCTCAAGTTTTGACTTCTATTTGACGCTGAAGATGAATTTTGAGAATTGTTCACTTAGAACAAAATTTTATTTACTAGTCAAGGTCTGTCTACTATGAAAATTGCAAGTCGGTCAGACAAGTCATTGTTGAGATAGTTTGAAAATCTGGTGGGAACGCCATTTGTTCTGGTAGTTCTACACACCATGATCCTCCGTTTGTTTTTACGATGCCGTGTCGTTGGAGCTCATTTGCATTTCGTTAGATACTATGGACATAGTCCTTTTTTAAGAAGATGATTTTTAACAGCGCTACGGTTGCCCTAGTCGTGGTAGTGTGAGATGACTGTTTGATATTCTAGAAAAGCGGTGGACACTCGAATCATGATGTCTCTCGCTNCACGAATCTGAACTCAATTCCTGTGATTTCTAAAGATATTATATCACTCTGAGAGTAGAGTCAGCGGTCACCGGATAGGGTCGCATACAGTATGGTCCATGCTAACTTAGCACGCCTGTATTTTCTCCTTGCAATTTAGTGATAAAAAACACAGTGAATATACCTTTTCACTTTTTGAAGTACACATAACACTCGGATTTAAATCCGAGGTTTTCGCATTTTTATTTCTAGTATAGAATCGAAGTTTCATTTATAGGAGAGAACACGTTGAAAGAGAAAAGGAAGACAATATACCAGAATTTACTAGAGCGAGGTAGAATGTGAGAAACAAACATGTCAGAATGCAAGAGAGAGCACATACACACATAGCAATGCGGGATGATGACGCAATAATGTTGTCAAGATAAGAGAAAAAGAGAGGAGTCCTTTCGATAGAATCTAAATGATATTATAATGATGATAATATCTGCAAAAGTTCAGAATCAAATAGCACTTGTATATTTATGGGAACACTCTTGTGGAATTTTTTCTCAGATCAGAGGTTTGAAAATCAAACTTCACAATTTTTGGTACCTTGGGATACCCACAGGAATCGAAAAAAATTTTTGATCTTCATTTTGAAAAATTTGTATTTGATCTCATAGACTTCATTGCATTGATTACGAATATCGTACTTTTATTGAAACTTAAAGAAATAATATGGAAGACATGAGAACCTTTCAGATTCAAATCTTAATAGAACGATCTCTGGAGTACTCCACAGCCAAAAATCTGAAGCTAGATTTCAAAGCTCAGACCTAAGAAAAAATGTCGGAAGAATGTTCCCATAAATACGCAAATGTTATTTGGTTTCGATTTCGTTATATGAAAAATAGTGGAAGTGGCACTACTACTTTTATATGAAGTTAAATCACATGTACGCAGAAATAAAAACTGATGGAAATAGGTAAGTAAAACATGTTATTCAAACAATCACAGATCCGAACATAAGTAAATCTACTGGTTTTCCTTAATCATTACCGCACTATATCTTGCTATTATTATTCGTGGCGTTACTATAATTTATATTTTTGTTTTGTATCGTTTTCTTCCTTCTTTTCTTTTGTTTTTATATCTTGATAAAGAGATAAAGCTGTTCACTAAGTAAAAGTTGAAGATATTAAGTCGTAGCGCTATTTTTCTTTCTCTCCTTTCTTCTGTTCTCGTCGTAGCATCATGCATGAAAAGTATATGTACATGTTATCATGTTGTTGATTTCTCCCGAAGAAAAGAATAAATCAGAGAAGGTTGGTCGATAGTTTGACAAATATTAATAATATGATGTGCATGAGTGACGATATTTCAAAACGAAAAAAAAAAATTATATTTGTATCCTTTTTTGTGCATACATCATTGGCGTAGATTTTATTTTTATGAAATGTATATTAATGTCTATTGATATTATTTTATAATTTACTTAAGAATATCTGAAAATATCAATAACAGTTATGATAACAGTTTATCTGATTTATTAGAAGAGGTACGATCAAGATTGATATTTCTCTTTAGAATTCTGAAATATTTTATTTGATGATCTGAAAAAATAATAATAAAAAAAAAAACATTATAAAAATAAAAACTGTTAGCGCAATCTCTGCGGGATTAAAAATATGGAACACAATAGAGCTGTTAACACTATAAAAGTATAATCTAGATATCTGCCGCAGTTTGTGATTGATTGGTACGAATTTTGTCATCTCTACAACAACTTCTTACTAAAATGTGCCATGTCCAGAATCTCATTATGTTCAGATTGTATATGTCTGACATTAAATTTCCTCAGGATTTCTGTTACGTTTGTAATGCAACGTTACTAATATCTATCTTTTATCGTTTTAATCAGCTAATTAATTATAAACAACGTTCATCGATAGTCGATTCAGGTAGTCCAAGACTGACAGAATAGGAATGCAAATGAAGTTGTTTATGGATGTAAACGAGAATCTACTATGCTTAACTGCGAGTAATAGAACACAGTTGCAGTGATTGTCTAATAACTAAGGTTCAAACAATCGCGAACGAGATTGTAAAGATCTCTCCATCACTATGATTTTAATTGATGGACCAGTATTAGATAAAAATAACAATCATTGTTTAACTATTCATTGTGACTAGAGTATTGTTCAACGCTGTATTAACGAGCGAGTACTTTATCAATAAATTAGAGCTTTATTAGTGAGTGCGAACAGATAACTATAGGATAAGAAAAAATCATAATCTTTGAATCATTTGATAGAATTCTTTGTCTTAGTTCAAACTGCGTCCATATGAGCATTTCTTTGTATATGCATTGATACCACTACTTATTTGTGAAAAAAATTCTTCATAAATAAGAAGAGCATTTCCATTAGATATCGCCGATTATTTATTACGCGTATTAAGATTGGGTCGATTCTCTCTCAAATGAAACTTTATCATTTTAAATTAATAATTAGAACAATGTTGAAAACAGCAGTGCGAATTTCGATAGTTATTTTATTCAGGCTCTATTTTTACTTTAAAAAAAATTTATCTCATTATTTAAAGGATATGATTTTTGTTTATCATATTTTATGTTCACACTCATTAGTAAAACTTTTAAGTTATTGATAGAGCATCTACGCCTTGATACACATTGAACAATAATCTATTCACAATAAATACTTAAACAATGATCATTATTTTTAACGAAACTAGTGAATTAATTCAAATTACAATACTTTAATGTTCCTTATAATTATTCGTTGCCATGTCTATTTGAATTATATAGATATCAGATAATCATGTCAACCACATACCCTTTATAGTCCTTTGTATTATAGTTGCCATGCCCATTTGGTCTGCTTTGCAAACAAGTACAAGTGACTTTCGATTTTCAGACCTATCGTTTCAGTCTGGAGAATAGTTGAAACAGTAGTGAAGTAGAGGAGCTCATCAAGTCAATCTGAACTCGGTCGAATCCGGTCTGAATTCGGTATTGAAAATTCTCTTATTCGGGTCGATTATTAAAACTTTGTGTTGACTAAGTTCAAAAATTTTAGCTCCAATGGATTCTAGTTAAGAATAACATCCAATTATATGTTGATTATTGTAAGACTATTGTGACTATTGCATGAGAAATGTATAGGCTGGACTACTTGCCAATAATAATAAGCAAAAAAAGTATCTTGCATTTGAGGTGCAACTATCTAATTAAGTTATAAAAACTTCATTGAAAGTATTAAGACTGCTGTTCACGAATGAGATCGAGTCTGACAACTTTAGACCGAGATGGCTCTAGTCAGGAGTGGAAAGAGAATTTTTGCGAGGAGAAATTACTTATACAGAAAGACGAACTCACCTTAATCCTGAGCAATTAGATAATATTTTACTAGTATAGTACATGTAAAAGAATGAAACGTTTTTTAAAGAGCATGTGCTTTATTTTCTGTGTATAATACTATTTCATTTGAAACACTTACATAGTTGACCCAATCGTTGTTCTACTGCTATTTCTGTTGTTGATTCTACCTGTTCAGGAAATCTAATAATGATATCTGTTATTAAAAAAAAATCCTAATCGTGTTTATCCTGCTTAATGTCCTGTTCTGTGCTCACCTCTGTTACGATGGCAACTCGAACAAAATTCAGTTGGAAATTGATCGATTGTAAAAATTCATTCGACGAATATTTTATAAATACTTCATGATATTGAGTAAAAGATATTACTACTATATCTGTAGTATACCTTCAATATATCTTGAACATTCAATGGGATCCCTAAAGTACCGAAACTGAAAACTATTTTTCAGAACGAATTGTCCATCCGACTACCACTAGACAATAGAGCTACAAAAATTGATTTTCAGAGATCTTTTAAGCTGTTTTTTATTTCATTTATCTAAATGGAAGGCGGTAGCTCTCCAAATTTGCCTGAAGCTTTATTTTAATATATGCAAGGATAAGAAAGAAAACATAATGATTTGATTCTTAGAACTGTTTAGAGAATGTCTTCTGTAATCCTCTTTGTAAGTATCGTCATCGTAAGATTAACTGTTGGTACAACATCACTAATAGTCAACATTTCTTTATATCTTAATTATGTCGTACATCAAAAAACAAAATTTATATTTTCCAATTTATTGAAAAAAAAAAAAACAAAAACAAAAAAAAAACAAAATTTCATTTACAACGACGGAAAGTAATGATACAACTCTTTCATCTGTACCAATAGGTTTAACATAAGTTCTTTTATCTTCGTACAATTGCGTCGTGTTTCTTCTCTTGTAAAGTTTTTTGTGACAAGTTTCAAATCTTTATAATTAATTATTAATACAGTTAGACATGGTACGTACGCTTTTGTTTCATTTAGAAATTCTTCAATATTGTCAATATTTGCATTCATCACGTGAAGTGCAGTAAGATGAGGATATTTGACGATTGAATATGATTGACTATTGTCAGATGAAAATGCGTCCATATTATACGACAACTGTAATTTAGAACTTGTAACATGAAGTTTATCCAGTAATGGAAAAGATTGGGAAATCCGAATAAAGAATTCATGATTGAATGACATTACATCTACTATCCACAATTTCGTAACATATTTGAATACAGTATCTGGAAATATGTTACCAATATCTTGAAGACAATCAAATAGAAAAGGAAGTGAAAATATAGAACATACAGCTTGACGATTACTATTATATTTTATGATATTAGCCATACATTGTTCGTGTCCACTATTTGTAGCAATTCGTTGAATATCTTGACTAGGCACATAACGAAATAAATCATTAGTATCATCAGAGGTACTAATATAAAAAGTAAATGAATGAAGGCATGGCATATAAAGAAGAATTTCATTTTGAAGATGAGAATTATCGATAAATCTATTTCGATTTTTTATATGAAGATATAAAGTTAATGTTTCCAGATATTTCATACGATGAAGAAGAGGTAGAATTTTCTCATCATAATTATTAATTCGAGGATAACATTTCAATGAAAAACATTTCAAATTAGGTAAATCATCCTATATGATAAAAAAGAATATTTATAAATATAAAAGTATATAGAATCAGTAGTCAATTTTATTTCACGATTGATATTCTTTATCAAAACATACCATATTATGAACGATTGATGAAGACTTGCTTCTGTCAGATATTCGAATAATACATGTAGTTAATTGTTTGAGTCGACCATCAAGTAAATAAAGACAATCATCTAATGTGTGTACTTTGATACATAAATGAGTAAGAGTTGAAGAGAAAAAAATAGTTGATGGTAAATCACACAATGATAAAGGTGGATATAAAGGATTGAATGTTTCAATAATACTCAAATATTTTAAATTTTTGAAGAATTTCAAGATCTGTTCATATACATTTCTACTATAGTTTTCCAATGATCCATTCCATTTGCGTTTATCATTATTTGCAATAATAAGATTTGTAATTTTTTCTTGAAAGATATATCGAATAGATGATTCATCTAAATAAAAAATAAGAAATCATTCTATAGTCTGTTCTATTTAATACTATTTGTCTGTTATTTTTCTTACTTGTAAAATAATTTAAAGCGACTTCTTGCGTGAAATTAAATAGTTGAAGTTCAGTTAGATTTCGATAATCAGCAGCAAGAAGAATATATTCCATTGAAATTGGTTCAAGAATAAAACATTTGACATTTTCATGAATTTTTGGTAATATATCCTGGCAAAATCGATCAAGTTTCTCTTGATCAATTGCAGAAACATTATCGATGGATACAAAATTAAGAGTATCACTGAAGATTTTTTCTTGTGCTACACTGTTCAAATGTTCATTATTAACGTCGATAAATGAATAAAGAACATCTATATTGTTCAGTTTTTTCAATATAATAAGTAATATCTCGTCAGGTAAATCCAATAGATTAACATTCGATCGACTCATATTTTATTCTGACTGACACTTCTAAAAAATGAAGGTATATATATATTTATATCGATTCTTTGTTTACAACAAGTTTCATCATTGTGGAAAAGAATAGATGAACTCATTGAAAAAATCAAAGGTCAATGATATCGTCCAATTGAAACATCGTCAACGAATGATATAGATAGTTTCTTACGTGACGTTACAATAACATTGAAATATGAATTACGCCTCAAACAGACCATAGAATGACGAATTGACTAAAATTGAATTAAGTGATATGATTGGTGAATTAACAGTTAGTACTAGTACGCATCCTCACCCGAAAAAAGTCATCAAAATCGAGTTTTTCCAGCCTCAAATTGATTGGATAAAGGACGGGAGACGTTTTGCGTTGTTATCGGCCTCCATAGAAAGCATCATCAGTTTTTCATGAAACTTTCAGCAGTTGTAGGACTCATAGTCAGTAGTCACTCCTATAAATGATCGAAATTAATCAATGCGTCAATTATCAAATATTCAGTTGTATATTCATCAGAACAAACGATCCTTCTATTCAACTCGGGTTATATGATGAGTGAATTGTATGAATATTAATGATAGGAATATTATTGTTATCCTAATCAATGAAATAACATGACTAAGATTGAACAAGTGAGAAACTGGTTGAAGATCAAAACCAGAACATTTGTTTAACATCAAGAATATATTAATCAACATTGTTGAAAAGTGCTTTTAGTCATCGGCAGGTCTTGTGAAATGAAAATAGTATCATCTATACATCAAGGCAACCACAAATATGATAAGCAATTTTGACCGCTAAGTTAGACGCTTGCCAATAACTTTGCAAGAAACGTTCCGATGATCCACATGTCAAGCAAATGAAAATCTATGTTTTATTTAGGCTTCACATTTCAAAGGACAAAAAAGTGTATTTTTAATTGTTTGAGGAAGTTGGAGAGTGAAGAAGAACAAAAAAAAAAGAAGAGAACAAAGTACCTACTTTTTAATTCAATAAGTGAAGGAACGAAAAAACATCGGCATAATAGGTTACTTATCTTGTTGTAATGATAAAATTTTAGGACATTTTTAAGAAATGTTTATAAATCAGTTCACATGAGCAATAACCGAAGTTCAGAAGATATGTTTAATTGAAAATATGTTGTATGAATGATGATTCTATGAGCTTCAATATTGGCCATATTAAACTAACCTTTCAACTGTGATGGAAGATGAAGATGAAGATGAAGATGATTTTATTCGATATGATAAATGACATCACTGATTGATAATTCTTTTTTTTTTTGCTTATTCTAGCCTGTCATTGCTACTGAAAGTTGGCTTTCAAAAGTCTTTTTTATAATATATTATATCTGTTTTCAAGTCTGAAGTATTTCTTTTATTAATATCAAGTTTTTAAAATTACATAAAAATTTGTTATTATTGGATTTTGTCGAAGCTGATACTAATATATCATCTTATCTAAAATTTTATATAGTATATGTATCTTACAATTAATCCAGCTGTGCCACGCCCAACTCACTGCTAACCATGTTGTTGTCGTTAGCATGTTATTTTAAAAGCATGAATTGTATGAAGATAAATATATGTTAATTTAAAGAGTAATATATTCTTTAATAAACTAAAAGGTTATTTTATTCGTATATTGATTATTATGAGTGAGAAAAATTCACTTTCTCCTTGGATCTCTTAATCCTCAGTTTGAGCATATCTTATGATTTTAAAAAAATAAAAACGCCCACAAAACGGCACAAACTCGCCCTTTATCTTTTGATTCTTATAATATATTCTTAACAACGTCATCAAGAGGAAAATGCTAACCATGGTTATTCAGTTTAACGAATTCCACAGATATAAAAGAAATCACATCCTATAGACAGCTAATATCACAGACAATTGTGTAACACGAATAATCGAACAACGAAAGACCGATAGAAACTAAACAATGGCAATAATTTCTGATCGAATAAAACTAATCAAACATTCTTGGCGGTTATTGATCATCTTCCTCACACCATTTATCCTATTACCCCTTCCAATCATTGTTCAAACAGCTGTAAGCACTAAATTATAGTTTACATTGTAATACAGGACTATAATTTTTTTCAAATTCTTTTTTAGCAAGCAAGATGCGCTTATATTGTACTTGTTCTTACAGTTTATTGGGTGTCTGAAGCAATGCCATATGCAGTGACTTCTATATTGCCACTTTCTTTCTTCCCATTGGCAGGTATTATGCCTAGTGCTGAAGTAGGCTTGAACTATTTCAAAGTGAGTATATATTATTTTTCTATTTTTGTCATGTCATCAGTTTATCCCACTGAACTTTCCTTAGGAAATAACAACATTATTTGTCGGAAGCATGATGTTAGCTCATGCTATGGAACATGTTCGTTTGCATCGAAGATTAGGATTATTTGTTCTTAGCCTTGTTGGTACATCAATTAAGTGGTATGCACTATTCTTCTTGTTCCATAGTATCGAAATAATTGACTGTTATTTCTTAATAGGAGCATGGCTGGTCTAATGGGAGTGACTGCTTTTTTGAGTATGTGGATCAACAATTCGGCAGCAACAAGTATCATGATACCAGCAGCGATTGCTATTATCGATGAACTTGAAAATCATCAACAACAAATACAAAAAGAATCAGAAGTTAATAAACTTAAAGATCGTCGACAATCGAAAGAGATAATCCCACTTGAATCTGAGAGTATGAACATTTATAAATCTAGTCATATAAATAAATAATCAATATTCCTATTTGAAGTGTCTTCAAACCTCGAAACATCTATTGAAGAACAGACAAAAGAAATTCTCACAATTCAAGAGAATATTTTAATTGAGTTAAATGAACAAGCAATTCAGTGAGTTGATTTTTCAAAAATTTGAGCATAGTTTTGTCTATTCGAACTTTTAAATGACATTACGATCTTCTGTATTTTCTAAACTATATGTAAACATTCATTTTCTAGTGATCAAAATGACCGTTCCTCAAATACTAAATTAAATTCAACGTCGACAAATCATGTAAACTATGGAAAACTTAAAACTGGTATAGTTAATTTAATTGAATCAAAATTTCAACATATCAAATCATTGACTTTTTTTTTAAAGCTTTTCTTATTGCTGTTGCGTACAGTGCAGCCATTGGTGGTTTAGCAACATTAGTCGGAACTGGTCCAAATATTTTCGTTAAAGGATTTACTGATGAGTAAATACTTATATCATATGAATCTTTTTGCTAAAAATAATTTTATTTTGTGTTCTTTAAACTAGGTCCTATGCCAACGGATCTCATGCGTTTGAAATTTCTTTTACCAATTTTCTTTTATTCGCCTTACCAATTGGTGTCGTCATGCTCGTCATCTGTTGGTTATGGTTGCAACTTGTGTATAATCGTAGAGAGTAATATTTTTCATACATATATCAAATGCTATCTTAATAAAAATAAGTTTCTTTTAGATTATTACCATGGATAAAAGTTGATGTGAATAGTTTAGAATCTCAAAAACATTTAAAATCCATTCTCAAAGAACAATACAAAGAGTTGGGTAGTTTAAGTTGGCAAGAATATATAATAGCCATTTTATTTTTTATTATGGTTATCCTTTGGATAACACGTGATTTTTCAAGTTACCCTGGTTGGGAAGTTATTTTTCGAAAAGAGTAAGCTGAAAAATTACAATTTTTTTCTTGATAAATATTTTAATCATTGTTTAGTTATGTTACGGATGCTACAGTTGCTATACTTATTGGTACATTACCACTTTTTCTACCAAACAAAAATCCATTTAGTAGTAAGATACACTTTAAATCACTACTCTCAATTTCTCAAAACGAAGGATTTGACAGTTTTTTGAATAAATTTTGATAGGAATGACACAGAGACTTGTTGTTCTCATCGTTAAAGAGAAAAGATTCTGGGCTATCTACGTATGCCAAAATTTGATTCGTTAGCGACTGTTCAATCAGGTGAGTTCTCTGCAGAGATACTCAAAAAAAAAGATATTCTAAAGCCATTTCCCATTGGATTTTGACTGGGAATATAATGATCCGATAGGAGAAATGCTGCCGTTTGTATCTACAGAAGCCGCAGTGTTTCAACATGTTCCGTTCAAGCGTAACAAGGATTTTTCGGAGCCCACCGTTTTCAGCAAAATAAACTTGGAAGACTCCAAAGGAGCTTAAGACAGGTAATTCATCATGGTGAGTCGAATAATGGCGTTTGTTTTCCGTTTCAAAGCAACTTGCGGCCACTTTCTCAAGGTTTTTAAAATTCGATTTTTAAGTTACGTAAAAGTTTTTGAATTTTCCAAAATACTGAAATAATGGTCTTAGATTGCTTTGAAACTGAAAACAAACATTACTACATGACTCAGTATGATGAATGATTTTGGTCTGAAACTCTTTTGTAGTCTTTCCAAGGTCAGTTTGTTGAAATCAGAAGTTCTAGGAAAGCTATTGTAATGGTTGAATGGAACATATGAGAAAGTTGGAACTCTCTCCTAAATCGAAAAAAAAGAATTTTTCCTATCGATCGATCATTTTTCAAATCATGATCCAATAGGAAATGGGTTCAGAATAAATTTTTCAAATTCTCCAGGGAACTCACCGAACTGGTCAATTGTTGACCAATCAAATTTCGGCATACATAGATAACTCAAAATCTTCTCTCTTGAACGATGAAAGCCTCAGATCTCTATGTTGTGCCTATCAAAAGATGTTCAAAAAAGAGTCAAGCCACAGTTGCTGTTCGTGAAAAAAAGAACATTAAAATTCTTACTTAGAAAATTATTCTAGAGCAATGGGAATATCAACCGATTGTTCACTGGGATCAATTATCTAAAAAATTCCCATGGGGTGTGTTTATGTTACAAGGTGCCGGTTTGGCTATTGCTGAAGGATTCAAAGTAAATTGAACATGAATAAATTTTGCTTTCTTCTAAAAGTATCATCTTCATCATTTTAGGCATCAAATCTATCGGACACAGTAGCTACTTTTCTTCAATTTATTGTTGGAGCTTCTGATATTACTATTATTTTTGTTGTTATTGTATTGAGTGCAATATTCACTGAATTTACAAGTAATCTTGCGTGTGCCACTATTTTATTTCCAATACTCGACAGCATTGTAAGACATATTCTTATCTATTATCAACTTTTTATTTTTGAGTTCTTTCATGAAATCATATATACTAAATTACAAAATTCTGAAAAACAGTCAAAAGAGTTTTTTTTTATGAATCACGAAATTACATTTTTATGTGAAATTTTTATAAGAATTGATAATAATTTTAAAAATAATATGATGGATGCGGAAAATTATTTTAAAAGCATCATCTAACCCATAATGAGTTATGAATATCTTGAAAAGAAAGTCAGTTCTTAGCTTATGGCAGCAAAGGCACTGTATTTTTCCGGTATTTTTCAACACTGTTGCCATGATTCTTCTCAAGAACTTTTCGAAATTCGACTTGAAATTTTACACGAACTCAAGTCTCACTGAAAATAGTTTATTGTGAGAGTTTCAGGTCGTTTTGTTGTTCTTACTCGAAGATACAACGATGGTAAAAGTGTGTCTTTTTCATTGCTCGTATAACATCAGTGGATTTAATATTATTATTTCAGGATAAGAGAACATCAAAAGATCTGATACTTTTACAATAAATCATTTTCGTAAAAATCTGTCTCTGTACAATGTTTAAAGTCGAAATTTGAAAATTAGTTTTCCTTGTGCTTATGAGGCAAACTAAAACATTGAGTTATAAAATATCGTAAAAATGCAGTATCGATACAATAATAAGCTAAAAGTTCAAACTCTTTTGAGAATATTGATATTCTATTAGAACCCAGATGATTCACATAGTCGCGACTCAAAAACGATTCAACAGCTGGAAAACTTTCCAGATTAAGCCTCAATTCTATCCCAATGACTAAAACAATAACCGATATAAAAAGTATATCTCATTATTCTCTTAGCTATTTTCTATACTATGACGTATTCATGACATCGATTCCAGACAACAGTATCTTTATTTGATGTTATTTTATAGGCAAAAACAACAGGAATTCATGCAGCGCGTCTTATTTTACCATCATGTATGGGTGTTTCACTCTCATTCATGTTGCCCATCGGTACGTTTTATTTACAATGTAGATTCTAAACTGAATTTTATTTGTAGCTACTCCACCTAATGCCATGATATTCTCAAGCGGAAATGTCAGAATTATGGAGTTAATTAAAGTTGGACTCGGTATGAAACTGTTTGGTATTGTTATAATTCTTATTGCATCTATTACTTTGATAACACCAATCTTTCGAATAAGTCCATTCATACCAATTCTCAATAGTACATTGTTACTGAATGACAGTCTTAATGAATAAATTCTAGCCAAAAAAAAAAAACGAAAAACAATTATTTTTTTATTTGTATTATGCAATTGATTTTAAATGTATTTAATTTTTAAAAATCAATCATTTGTTTTAGTACATTATTAATTTTGCAAAAAAAAAATCGATCAAAGGTTCATGTATGACAAAAATTAAACTCTTTTGCCTCTGAATGTCCAATGATGTGAACATTAGCAGAAATCATGTGATCCAAAACTAACTCCATGTTAGTTGTAGAGAACTTTATAAACTATCGATTGCTAAAAACATTCTATTTTTTATCTCATTGCTTTATATTTAAAAAACATGATGCATAAAATCAACAAGTTGGGGAAAATGAGATTTTTCCTAGAATTTTTTTATACTTAATTAAAGACAAAATACATCTTGGATACGTGTTGTTTTGATATATATATATATTAACGAAAATGTTGTCTAATGAATCGAATACGTTTCACAAATTCTTCAATAGTTTGGTAGATAAAATATGTCAAACCATTGAATGGATCTTGCAGCGACCACCAGAAGGTAAAAAGAAGAATACTATACATCATGCAGATTTTTTTTTCGCTAAATTAGTCACATGATAAATCAAAAAATGATTTATTGATTGTATTACTATGTAATGACTAACGAGATTTTATTTTTTATTATGTTCATCTTTTTTTTTATCATATCAACCACCAAGAAAATGATGGCGCTATACGCAAAACTATCATTGCAGAGAAGAAAAATACGACTTTTCAAATCGTCGTACTATTTTCATTTTTTTAACCAATGATCGCTGGACTGATAAAAGTATTCCTCAATAAAAAAAAATATCCAGTCGTTCAAATCATATCATTACCATATAGACAAGATCTATGTTCAATTTGGGTATGATGAATTGGGTCAATGAGAAATTATCTTCCATCGTGACTATTAATACAAAAAGATAGTTCTAAAAGAAATTAGATTTCACAAAGAAATTATTATTCTATTGAATTCTTCAAAAATGCAGAATCCTATACCAAATATTGATCCTACTATAAAAGTCATTCAATAGCTTCTATTTAAAAATATGATTATTGATAGATATTCTTCTTTTTTTGCAATTTACGTGTGTAATAATGCTTACAGATTTGTGTCTTCTTTTCTGCATTGTTAGTAGAAACAAACAAAAAACAATTCGTAAAGTATTTCGAAGAGTCTAGAAGTCACAATCTATTGTGTATTTGGATAAGTGGAGATCGATCTGTTAACTGCATATTGCCGTTCTGTATATACAATGTCACATACTAACTTTGTTAGTCGTATTATACGTTTCACTTAGTATAAAGAGAGATAGGACATAGTAATACCATGCATTTTTTTTTTCTTTCTTCTACAAGATAATTTTTTTTTCTCTGACTTATCCCAGTTATAATGGGGGTATAGGAACAGTTATTGTATTTTCATGCGACGAAAGAAAAGGAAATCCATAGCTTTCTTCGGTCTTATTATTATTATATACGCAATACAAGAAGTATAGCAAGACATAGGAAAAAGCTTACATCACGCGCAATTATCCAAATATGTCAGGAACATCAAGAAGAGTTCGACGCTTAGAAAAAGAAGCCATTTTACGTGCAAAAGTAGATTGTTTATTTTGTTTATATTTTATTTTTTATTTTTCTAAAATAGGACTATGAATATACACGTGAAGTATCAAACCGTTTATTATCGAGTTTAAATCTAAATTCTGAAGATGATGACAATGAACGACATCGACGACAAATAACAACACAACCAATACGTCGAATTCAAAAAGAACTTGATTATCCAATTGAAACAATGGATAAAATAAACGAACGAATACAACAAGAAGTTAAAAAAAGACAAGCAGCAGCAGCAGCAGCAGCGGCATCAACATTAGCATCAACAGCAAAACCAACAAGTTAGATGTTTTTTTTTTTCTTGAACTTGAACAAATAAACAATGTTTGATGTTATATTTATAGACCGAAATTATCAAAAATCATCATCATTGTCTGTAGATGATCAAACGAATCGCGATAATGCAATTACAGGAAAATATACAAGCAAAAAGCAGACAAATCCTGGCAAACCGAGTTAAAGCATTTGATCGCGTAAAAAAAAAGAACTCACATGAATCAAACTACTTTAGTTTTTAAACATATCTCGATTTTTTCCTTACTGTTTCATTAAAAGTCTTCTCTCAGAACTTATAAAAAATATAAAACAAAAATATCAATGAATCTTTCTTAATAAATAAAGTGAATTTATCAGGAAATATTCAAATTAAGTCGATGGAGATAGATCAACTGTATTTGCTTTTGTCTTTGTTTTGCATATTTCAATATATACAATTATTCTTTCTTGAAAGTTCTAAACATTTCTTCTAGTTCGGCAACGACTATCGACGATGGAAATAAGTAGCACACTAGTTTCCGGCAAATATAGAATGAAATGACTAAGATAATTCGCGTATTTGATATGCAATAATATTTTTGTTTTTTGAATCAAGAGAAGAGCACATCGCGCGAATGACAAGATAAGTGTATTGAAGTTCAAATAACAAAAGCTCATTTGTCATTTATGAGTATTTTAAGAAGTGATCGATTCATTTCATATCTAGCTAAACTCTTAACAACAAGGAACGATTATTCGACAAACAAACATTATTATGTGAAAGAATCTTGTTTGGTATATTTTTTTTGGCGTTATTGATAGTACAATTGTTCTAAAATAGTTGTATCCATTGTTTTACATGTGATTTACTTTCAAAATGTTTATAAAGATTTCAGCTGATTTCAGTATTATGAACTAATATTCGGATCGAACATCGGTGTGCTAAAATTGAATAAATATCCTCAGTATAGATTGTAATTTGAAATTGAATTGAGATCTTACATTCTTTATAAGATATCAAGCATCATGTCAAAAAAACAACATGAAAAACTATTTTTTTTTTCTTTCCACAATTAGGCGTGAGATGCTAATTTCAATATAAAATTCGAAAGATGAATTGTCCTTGTTTGATTAACTACTGTACTAGACAATAGAGTCAGACGAGTCAAATATTTTGAATCAGGATCCAGTCGAATTATACTTTAATGCTCTCAATGAAATTTTCTAATCAGAATTGGATAGTTATCCTATAGATACTATTTTTTTCTCGTTTTGTTTTATATTCGGTGACTAGTGCATCCTACACATTTCTCAGAAGACTAGGACCCATCGAGTTTGAGACCTTTTCGACAGGTTCTTCTGACCCGTGTCTTCTATTTCTTGAACAAAACTTCTTGAGACTATCAAAAAAAATTAAATATTTCTCTATGAAAGATTTCTAGAAGCCAGACATTGGAATATTCGCAAAGAAAGATGCTTTAGTCAAAATCAGAGATTTTTGTTTTAATAGAAAACTAAATTATACATTACTCGATATTCTTCATTATTATTATTAAGAAAATTATTAAAGTTCTGAAAAAATCAAATACCTGTTCACTGTTTGACCGTATATCTCGATTTCTTTTCTTTTTTACATGTAGTCTCTCAAATATAACAGAGTTATATAACTGTTAACCAATTGTAGTACTCATGTTATACTGACGATTTGCTATTATATGGGTAATATATTGTGTGAAAAAACAAAAGTTTGTCATAGATATTTCTTGGTGTTTTAAATAGCAAATACGAATTACAATGAATGAACAAGTTTGATTATAATATGTTTTATCAAAAGATCTTACGAAAGCACTTTATTATTTTAGTTTCCGACAACGTATATAATTCAAACAATAAAAAAAAAAACATCAGGATTACATGAGTACTATAATTGATTTAATAAGTCATATAATTTTGATACGTTAGAGGAGCTACAAATAGGAAAAAAAGAATCGGTTTATCAGATCAGATTAATTATTCTTTTATATAATGGTATTCTTGCATATATTTGGGATACATTGTAAATATATTGAATGTTTGTATTCGTAGCCAATTCATTAATATTTATAAAAATTTATATTATTTTTTTTCTCAATAAAAACTTTTAATTCTTTTTTTTCTTCATTATTTACAAGACTCCTCAATTAAGTTTCCTTCACATTTCTTTTATTCCTTCAAATTATTGTAATTTGCTTTTTTTTTCTTCCAACAATTGGTATATAGCGAGAAAATACAGGCTTCACTACATTGTATGGTACATTAATCATAAATAACAAATAAACTTGAGAACATAGAAAATACATGAGAAAAAGGTTGTTATCTCTTTTTAATACATATTGATATGAAAACACTCCGAAGCGGACATAATTACAAAGCTATCATTTTTGATTTCTTGATAATAATAGTATATGTCATGATAGTCACAAATATCTATCGTTCGCCATTCTCGTACTTTTTGTCTCAAGTCTCCACACATCTGGTAAAATGTTTTTCTAGTTCTGAAAATCTTTCTGTGACACTTGCAGCTGCTTCCGTAAATATCGTTAGCAAATAACTTATCGATCAATCAACTGCCAGCAGATATCAAATGAACAAAAGATGTATCAAATAACTAGAAGACAAATATGGAAACGAAGGCAAGATTAATGTTCTTGTGTTAGATTCGATCTTGGTCGAGACACAATATTCACAGATTTCCAGTTAAATTTTCACCAGAAGTTCTATTGATAAAATATCTTTACTATGTTTTATTACTTAGATAAAAAAGTTTATAAAATAGAGTTTTTGAATTTTAAAACAACAATTGAACTTCTACATGATAATATGTACAAAAAACAAGTGAAGATGTGATACTTAGATTTTCTCTTACTGTTTACTGAATTTTATTTTTTATTTGTAATTAGTATATTATCCGATGCTATGTAATCTGTACTTTTTTCGCTATATACAGATTGTGAGAAAAAGATCAAACAACAATAGTCTTAAGAGAAAAAAGTGAAAAAATTCAATTGAGATGTACTATGTAAAAATTAATAATGAAAGATTAATTTATCAGTTGTGGAGATTTTTTCCAAGCTATAGTTTGATGATTGCATGAAATCTCATTGATTAACAATAATGATACATAACAGATATAAACCCCATGTAGAAAATCTGACGTAAAAAATCGATTCTAAATCAATTACAATCATACATTTTTAATTGATTATTAATCGATTATAATCAAAAAGCGATCAGAAGCATCGAAATTTCATTGATTATTCCGATATTTTTTTTATTAAAATCGACCTTATAATCAGAAAGAAATCGCTTATAATCAATGTAAAAGCAAACCGATTACAATCACACAGAACTTGATTAAAAATGATTTTTTTACAAATTTTAAATCGGTTAAAAAAATATTGGAATAATCAATGAAAGTTCAATATTTTTCATTACCTTTTGATTATAACTGATTTATCATCGATTTTTGTTTGTGACTTTTGTACATGAGACTTATGTTAATTATTCTCAAAAAATAGTCAGCGAAGATTGACAGATATTCATTATGGTACGAGCTGAAAAGTGTGAATGTGGTTAACTTTAGCTGGAACTAAACTTATTTGTTAATTACACTTATTACAAGGAATGACGCCCGTGCTGCAAAAAAATTTAAAATAAAAGTTTAACATTTGATGAATGAAACTATTCGATTGTTATATTCATAAAAGAAGTGAAACTAATACATCTCTCTCTAATAGGTGAAATGTATTTTGAGAAATCATAAAGACTCTTTCTGGACAATAAAATACAAAATAAATCTTTTGAAAACAAGAATTCCTATGTATTTTCTATTTTTTAATAGTGATTTGTCGGAAAAATAAGTCAATAAGCACAAGTTTTTCAAAAGATGATTTAGACTAAGAATTAGAAAAACAGTTAAAAAATGACAACATTCGCATACTTTTTCACGATATTTCTGAGTATTTTATTCCCATAGTTATGAAAGTTCCATTAGCATAAAAGATATTTTAGAATATGTTTACAGACTGAAATTTATTAATAGATTTTATTCTTCTTTCAGCTAACCTATGTAAATTTGTATTCTCATTTTCAAAATGATTTTACTATCTTTCTGAATGATTTTTTATTCTTCATCTTTAAATCTGTCATCTTTAGCAAATGTTCTCTCAATATATGCTGTAATATGATAATGATTTAAGAGCTAAAAGAAAGTAGTTTTGTTTTTCGTTATGTATGTTATAGATTTTCTCTTAAAACAAATTATAATATNTTTTATTCTTCTTTCAGCTAACCTATGTAAATTTGTATTATCATTTTCAAAATGATTTTACTATCTTTCTGAATGATTTTTTGTTCTTCATCTTTAAATCTGTCATCTTTAGCAAATGTTCTCACGATATATGCTGTAATATGATAATGATTTAAGAGCTAAAAGAAAGTAGTTTTGTTTTTCGTTATGTATGTTATAGATTTTCTCTTAAAACAAATTATAATATATAATATTTTCTATTTATGAGTACTGAAGAATGTTTACGATCTGCTGTTTCATTATGATGTGTATTTTTCAAAAAATATTTAATATAATTCTACTAAACATAAAATATGCTCCTAAAATAGTAATATAGATGTTAGCATTTCCATTTTAGATGTGGATTAGATAATGAGTCGTTTTTATTTGTATTGGATTAATGATAACAATCATGAAGAAATGAAATTTTTCTATTTTAAATTGGAATAATATTTTTAATCATCTTGATGTTTCCGAACGACAACCATCCATCGCAATAACATAAGTAAATATACAAATAGTTTTAGTGACGATCAAGTTTGAATCAACTATAACTACAAAACAAACACAGGAACAGGCATCCAATGACTTATTACGTTCAACTTAAAGATTTTTATAAAAATAATACTGTAGAACTGAATGAAGTTCTAGAAAGCCAATATTGATTATTGAAGAATAAAAACCAATAGTATTACGAATATATATCGAAATCTAGTAATTGATCTATTTGACAAACAAAAGCGTAACGAATTATTACATAATATTTCTTATGAAAAGTTGTTGAGGCCACTTTACTTCAATAATCTAATCGACATAAAAAAAAAGAATTGTGCATTAAAGATTTAAATCTTGCAGAATAATAAATTTATGTATTACAC